CGAGGATGATCCCATGTGCGGGCACCGGGGTTGTGTATTCATGTTTGGATTGTGCTCGGGCATCTATATGCCCAGAAATGACTGTTAAGCTTCTAACATGTGGTAACAGTTTATGTGATCTAATTAAGCCATGATGAGTCTACTTAGAGGCATAATCCCCAAACAAACTTGATAAATGCTCTTCATTGATGAAATTTCTAGATTTAGCTATGATAGCACACTTTGCACATGCCTACACTTTAGCATGTTATTTACACCAGTTCAGGGATAGGAAAATCTCATTTCATTCATTATATACCTGCACACTTGCTTTATTGCTTCTGTATGATATTTTGTACTGGGGCCTGCGGCTATGCCGGGCGGATTATGTTATTGGCACGTGAGTTGTCCATACGGATCCACATATTGATATTATTGGCACGTGAGTTATCCATGTAGTATGTGAGTTGTCCGTGCGGATCCATATATTGATATTATTGACACGTGAGTTGTCCGTGTCGCACGCGAGTTTTCCGTGCATACCCTATTGTTAGCACGTGAGTTGTCCGTGCAGCACGTGAGTTGTCCGTGCAGTGTGTGAAACTTGTATTTTCTTGATCATTTATCTGATTTACTTGTTTTCTTTCTCCTATATGCCATAATACTGTTGAGCGGGGTAGTCGAGGACAGTACACATGCACACACCGATATTCGTATCAGGAAGCCTTATGAGCTAGCATTAAATCTAATATTATGTTAATCAAGAAGGATAGAATTGTACTGATTTAACTAGCGACTTCAACAAATTAAGCTTCTCTTACCTTGCCCTATTTATTTGGGATACTCATTGAGTTGGTTGTACTCACACTACACCCTGCACCTCGTGTGCAGATTCTGGCATTTCTGGGCATGACGATTGTTGATCGTGGAGTCTACCTGTTCGGAGATCATCGAGGTAGCTGCTTGGCGTCCACAGACCTTAATCCTCCTTTCCCTATCTTTCAGTTTTATGTATTTTGTCTTACTTTTAAGACAGTGTAGCATACTATGTTGTTATATATATAGATGTTCATGCACTCCGTGACACCTAGATCTTTTGGGAGGATTCTTGTATTGATTTTTGAGGTTCATATCCCGTATTTGTGAAATTCTTAATTATCTAAATTTACTTCAGCATATTTGAGTTTTAAAAATGTTGGTATGTGTAAGATGTCTGCTTGTCTAGTACTATGATAGGCGTCATCACGATCGGTCAAGTTTTGGGTCATGACACCGGGAGAGACATTTAGCCCAAGCCCACTGAAATGTATATAACCAACTTCTGGCTTCAAACACGTCATCACCTGATTGGCCGCGCTAGAAGCCACACTTACCAAACTCTACTTAGCTGTTGGGTGTAACATCATTCCCCCATTCGAAACATTCATCCTCGAATGTTAAATCGCAGCCCCTCATGGTGATTTCCTTTTTTCCTTCCGTGGTGTGGAATAGATGGGGGTACCTAGACTTCATGTCTTCCTCCACTTCCCAGGTCATTTCTTCTTTACTATTGCTCCTCCAAAGTACTTTAATTGAAGCTACCTCTTTAGTTTGTAGATTACGGACTTGACGATCTAAGATGGCCACCAGAATTTCTTTGGAAGATAGATCTTATGTAACTTGGATATACTTAATAGGGGTAACACAAGATGGATCACTCAAGCACTTTCGAGGCATAGACACGTGGAATATCGGATGCACTGCTTCCAGTTCCGGGGAAAACTCAAGCTTATAAGGCACTTGACCGACCTTCTGTATGATTCAATATGGTCTGATATACCAAGGGCTGAATTTGCCTCTTTTACCAAATCTCATTACGCCCTTCATTGGTGACACTTTTGAAGAACACCCAGTCCCCTACGACGAACTTCAAATATCACTGCCGGTTATCCGAGTAGGATTTCTTCCTACTTTGGGCAGCCAATAATCAGCTTCTAATTAGTTTTACCTTTTCCACAACCTGTTACACCAATCCTAGCCCCAATAACTTTGTTTCCCCCACTTTGAAACCAGTCGATAGGAGATCTACACTTTTGTCCATATAGGGATTCATATGGTGCCATTTGAATACTCGCATGGTATTCCTCGAGTATTTAAATAGTGCGATCAGTCTGGCCATCTAAGGGTAAGGTTGACCTTTGTACCCAATCCTTTCTGAAATAACCTCCAAAAGTTAGTTGTGAACTGGGAACCTCTATCTGATACGATGGAAATCGGAACCCCGTGGAGTCAGACTACCTCCTTAATGTATAGCTTAGCATAATCTTCCGCTGAGAAGGTAGTCTTAACTGGTAGAAAGTGGGTTGACTTGGTGAGTCGATCCACGATAACCCATGTGGAATAAAACCTTCGACGTGATCGCGGTAATCCGATAATGAAATCCATGATGATCGCGTTCCTTTTCCAGGTCAAAATTTCCATATTTTGTAGCAATCCTCCTAGTTTTTGGTGTTCAACCTTAACTCGTTGGTAATTCGGACACTGAGTGACATATTCAGCAATGTCCCTCTTCATGTCGTTCCACCAGTATAGCTGTCAAAGATCATGGTACATCTTGGTTAACCTCGGATGAACCGAATACCGGGATCAATGAATTTCTATCGAATGAAGCCCATATCAAGCAACTCTTGCAACTGCTCCTTTAACTCCTTCAACTCCGTTGGGGCCATACGATATGGTGGAATAGAAATGGACTGACTGCCTGGAAATAAGTCAATACAAGAATCGATATCCCTATCGGGCGACATGCCCAGAAGATCTGCCGGAAATACATCTGGATAGTCCCTCACTATCGGAACTGACTCCACGGTATGAGTGTCAACACTGACATCCCTCACAAAGGCTAGATATGCATCACACCCCTTCCCAAGCATCTTCTATGCCTTAAGGAAAGATACCACCCTGCTAGGAACATAATCCAAAGTACCCTCCACTCCAACTGCGGTAAACCTGGCATATCCAACGTCACTGTCTTGGCGTGATAATCAAGAATAGCATGATAGGGAAACAACCAGTCCATGCCTGAAATAACATCAAAATCTACCATACTGAGCAACAATAAATCAACTCTGGTCTCAAAATCACCAAGGACAACTAAACACGACCGATACATACGGTCAACAATAATGTAATCTCCCACTAGCACGGACACATAGACAGGAGAACCCAAGGAATCACGGGATATACCCAAATATGGAGCAGATAAAGATGATACATAGGAATAAGTGGAGCTTGGGTCAAATAATACTGATGCATCTCTATGATAAACCGGAACAATACATGTTATGACTGAGTTCGATGCAACCGCCTCCATCCTAGTTGGTAGAGCATAACATCTGGTGTGATAACCATGGCCTGAGAAGTCTGGGGACCCTATGGAATACTTGGAGCCTGAGTAGTCTGTGGAGGTGTACCCCTCCTGATTCTAGGGAAGTCCCTTACCATATGAAGAGTATCCCCACACTCAAAATAAGCTCTTAGAGGGCGTGGCTGTTGAAACTAGCTCAGCCCTGGTCGGCTGGACTGACTGCTTAAAGCACCCCGTGCAGGAGGTGCACTAAATAGTGGCAGTGCATAATGGTCAACCTGAGACCTAGGAGTAGCCGTAATACCGCTGGAAGCTGGGAGTGCTGAGTGAACAAGACGGCTCACAAAGCCTCTACCATGACGCGCTGCAACTGGAGCATGGGCACCACTATATGTGCCAGAATCTTGAGGACTCTTGGCCTTCCTCTCCTCTCTCTCCCGACCCCACATACCCTTCAATTCTCCACCACCTTCTACTATAAGGTATCAATCTCCAACTCTCGAGCCATGCTGAATCTAATACAGTGGTTGAGCCCATTGTTAAATCGATGGACTCACTCTCTGACTATGGAGACTAAGGCTGATGCATGTCTGGACAGTTCACTGAACCTGAAAACATACTTTTATACGGTCATAGCACCCTGTAGTAACTGCTCAAACTCTGCGCGCCATGCATCCCGAAGATTCTGGGGAATAAACTCTCTTATGAACATCTCTGAAAGCTGAGCCCGGGTGAGTGAAGCTGCCTCGGCCGGGCTACCCAACTCATATGCTCGCCTCCACTGATAAGCCGCTTCCTTAAGCTTGAACATAGTGAAAGCCACCCCACTCGTCTCCACAATACCCATAGTACGAAGGATATGGTGGCACTCCTCAAGAAAACCATGTGCATCCTCTAAAGATAAGCCGCTGAAAGTAGGGGGTGGTACTTTTGGTACCTCTCGAGCATGATCTGCTTCCCCTCAGATGCTGCTGCCCTAACCTCGGGCTGAACTGGGACAACCGGCTATACTGGTATGACCTCTAGGACCTGGACAACCTGGACCTGCTGCTCTGGGGTACAGGCGGCGGTAGTTTGTGCTCCTCCCCCGGCCTGAGATGTGGCAGGAATAAGTGGAATCAACCTCGCCTAAGCTAGAGTGCCGAACATGCTCAAAAATTGGGTGAGGGTCTCCTGAAGTGCAGGGGCAGTAACAAGCGTCTCTGGTGCCTGCCCCCCAACTGGAGCTACTGGTGGCTCCTCTATAGCTGCTCGAGCAGGTGCTCTGGCTGCACCACGTGCCCGTCCTCGGCCTCTTCCCTTGCCCCGGCCTCTCGCAGCTCTAGCAGGGGGTGCGGGTGTCTGATCATCAGATCTAGCTATGCGTGTCCTCACCATCTGTGAGAGCATAGAAAGATAGAGATTTAGAATTTCAAAGTCAACAAATTCGCACGATAAGGAATCAAAGATGTGAAGATTTCCCTAACAGTTCTATTGCCTCACGAAGATAAGTACATACGTCCCTGTACCGATCCGCGAGACTCTACTAAACCTGCTTGTGACTCATAACACCTATGAACCTAGGGCTCTGATACCAACTTGTCACGACCCCAATTTCCCTCAGTTGGATTTCATGATGGCACCTAGTCTCCAAGACTAGGTAAGCCTAACATACATGTAGAATATGACAGAAATATTGATAAAACTCTCTCAAATTCTCAACAACTATCATAAAAGAAACTTCTCAACTCAGCATAACAAAACTTCCCAAAATCTGGTGATAACAAGTCACAAGCTCTACGAATAAATACTGATCATCCCTATACAACAGTGTCTATGAAAGGGAAAGAAAATGAAGTAAACTAGATAGAGGGTGACTCTGAGGCCTGCGGACTCTCCGAAGCTGAGCTTGTCTGACTTGTGCCTGGGCTAGTAGGAAGTACCTGTATCTGCAAAAAAATGATGTGTAGAAGCATAGAATGAGTACACAACAATGGTACCTAATAAGTGCCAAGCCTAACCTCGGTAGAGTAGTGACGAGGTCAGATCAAGGCCCCACTGGAATAAATAAGAAACTGAACAGGTATATATAATAGTGTAATAATGATAACAATGGAAATGAAGCAATAAAGAAATATACCAAGATTAGTTACACTGAACTAAGGCAAATAATGCATCACGGAAGAAAACAAAGAATGATATGCCAAGTAAACAAAGCAACCAAAACACAAGTGAAGTAATAGAAAAGTATCAACAAAAATCACTATTGAGGTACCACCTCGTAGTCACATTTTACAAAACAATTCACAATCTATCCATATATCACCGTGGGAGACTTGCATTTAGTTTTGAAAATCATTTTCCCGAAATAGCTTCCCGCGTATTAGCCCACCTTATCATACCGCGTGGCTTCAAGTACTTCCCCTACTAGCAACACGCGTATCAAGCCCACCTTATCTCACCGCATGCGTTTCAACCCCAAACGTTATACCGCCGCATGCGTATCAATATCACAATGTATGACAAATCGCACCTCAAGTGCCCAATATCACAACTTGCCAAAGAAGTCAACAACAATGGTGTTTCCACATTAAAGAGCCCAGGGCTCAACCACAATATGCACAAAAGTCTCAACAATAACAATCGGAAATGAATAACTCAACAAGAATATTATTTCACAACTTAACAACTTTGCCTCAATGTGAATCACGGCCTTTATAGCCCAATACCAATTTCAACAACAAGAAATTCCAAGAATTAACAACTTCAAGTAAGGAACTCAATGATTAAATAATGAATAAGGAATAGAGGAAACAATAATTTCAACTAGGCATGTAAAGGCAATTAACAAGTAAGAGGTAAGACAAGTAAAGTATGTGAAGATAGACTAAAGATGATGAATATAACATATTATGGTAACTTAATTAAAGGCATGAAGAGAATCTACATAGCTAGAACCGATAAATTACCACATTTAGCCCGTGTACACACTCGTCACCTTGCGTACACGGCTTTCACATATCACAATTAACACAAAACAACACCAATCCTAAGGGGTAATTTACCCACACAAAGTTAGGTAAGACACTTACCACAACATATGCTACTACATCCACTAGTAAGTCTTTCCCTCGATTATCCAACTCCGAACGACTCGAATCTAGCCAAAACAACTTCATACCATAAATATAAACTATAGGAAACTATTCCGATCAATAAAGTTACGATCATTAAAGAGAAACAAAGAGTCAAGTCAAAAAGTCAACCCTGGACCCGCGTCTCGGAACCTGGCCAAAATTACAAAATCCGAATACCCATTCGATAACGAGTCCAACCACATAAGAATTACTTAAATCCGACTTCAAATCGCTTTTCATATTCCCAAAATTTAGTCTAAGAAGTTTTCACAATGTTTTCCCAAATTTCCAACTCAAATCACTAATTAAATGACAAAAATAACAATGAATTCGTGTAATATAGCCTAAACCAAGTTAGAATCTCTTACCCCGATGATTTCCTGGAAAAGCTCTCAAAATATCACCACAAACCGAGCTCTCTAAGTCCAAAAATGGAAAATGAGATCAAACCATCGAAGGCCCCTTTTCTGCCCAGTGATCCTCACGTCTCCGGGCATGAGGTCGCACCTGCGACGCTGCACCTACGGAAAATCCATCGTAGGTGCGGTTCCACCTTAATCTCTGAAGACTTGCACCTACGGACCCCTAAGCGCACCTGCGGAGGGTCCAATTTTGCGACCCTAGGGCTGGCTAGCCCATTCCGCTTCGGCGATGCATTCCCCGAAGCAGCGGGTCCGCTTATGCGAATTAACGACACAACATGTGGTCACAGCTGACAAGCCAAATCTCGCTTCTGCGCTACGAGAGCCGCTTCTACGGTGTCATACCTTCGGCCCAAAGTGCGCAGGTATGAATGCACCAGACACAACCATGCTTTAGTAATCACACAAGTCAATATTTGTTCCGGATTCAATCTGAATCACACCCGGGGCTCCCGGGACCCCCATCGAATATACCAACAAGTTCTAGTACACATAATGGAGCTATTCGAGGCAAAAAATCACATCAAACAACATCAATTCAATGAATCGCAACCCAATTCACGCCTATTGAGACTATGAACATCTGAATTCCAAAACTAATGTCGGTTCATACCAAAATAACTCCGATCGACCTCAAATTTTGCACACAAGTCATAAATGACATGACATACCTATTACAACTTTTGGAATCAGAATTTGACCTTGATATCAATGAAATCAACTCTCGGTCAAACTTCTTAACCTTCCAAACCTTGAATTTTCTAATTTTTGCCAATTCAAGACGAAATGACCTACGGACCTCCAAATCAATATTTCGACATGTTCCTAAGTCCAAAATCACCATATGCAGCTATTGGAACCATTAAAACTCCATTCTGGAGTCATCTACACAAAAGTAAAACTACGGTCAACTCTTTCAACTTAAGCACTGACTTAGGGACTATGTGTCCCATTTCACTCCGTAACTCCCCCAAACCTAAATCAAACACCCCCGAAAAGTCACATAACCATAATACAACATAGAGGAGGCAATAAATAGGGGATCAAGGCTAAAATACTCAAAACAACTGGCCGGGTCATTACACTTGCATCTGTGGCACGGTTTCATTGGCCTTATAATTTAATTTGGCATGCCTTATCATTTTGACACGTGGCAAGATCCTATTGGCTTTTCTATTTGACTTGGCGTGTCACATTCATTTGACACATGGCATCAAATTGGGCCTTTAGGAAGCTGACATCTTGGGCCTAATTAAGTGGGCTCATCTCTTGTAGCCCAATTAAATGGGCTCATCACTTGTAGCCCAATCAAATGGGCTATCCAAGTCAATATTTATTGGATTTAAATAATTAATCTAATTATATTAGCCTATAATTTATTTGGACTAGTATATGTTAAATATAAACTAAATTATTTATTTAATTTGAATAAAATAAATTTTACATGTCTACAAATGCCCCTACTTCAAGACTTGTCAGAGTGTCAATATAATGACAAGGCTTGAAGTATCAACAAGGGAAGAATTTGCGCCTTTCTTCTTGTAAACGATTTTGTGGATTTATTTATCCATGCCTCCTTAAATTATATTTTAAGGGATTTTACTTTCATTCAATTGAAATATCTCATTTTGCCAAAAGTTGTACCATGATTTTTACTTGGTGTTCCCTTTGAAACAACACTTTAAATTAATAAAAACTCCTTCGCACATTTGATGCTTACATGTTCTCTTCTGGTGAACACTTACTTTGCATATTCAATTATGTTGTTAACTTCATCAAATTGGCCAACTAACAATGATAAAGATCTGTTTACCCTCGAAATTGGATAACAATTAAACTTATAATGTGGATTTAAGGACACGTGATTTCACTTAATACCGATTGATAAATATGAAGATTAAAGATAGAATTATACAATAAAGTAAATCAAACCAGTATTTTAGTAGAACTCAACCCTTGCGTTAGAGTATCCTCGAACTGATTGATGCAAGGACAATAAAAATGCAATAAGCTGAAGAACAAGAGTGTGAGCGAGGAAGAAAATTATATTGCTTTGTTATCAGTTGTGCCTACAAATGGTTAGAACTCCCCTTTATATAGTAGAGGAATTCTATATATGGTACAATTCTAATTACAGAAGTAAATCCCATGATTAACTAAACAACCATTTTTGATTTGATCTGTTCCGAGATTTTTGCCATGATCTTCGACCAGTCACGGATATCTCGCTTATCTCGTTCGGTCTTGATTGTTGTAGGCTCGATCTTGGAAGGTGCCTCGAATCCCGATCTTGGTACCTTGTATTCTTGCCTCGATCCGATCTACTTTGGAGTCGTCCTTCGATGCAAACTCCCGGTCTCGGTCAAACAGTAAAATTGGGTGGGCTCGGTTTTAAGCGTGAACAGATAGTCCCCTCGTTATTTTGGAGTGTAATGACAAGAAATGAATTGAGCCTTCGATTTTCTACCCCGACCTATCGGGACGTCATCCTTATGACATAAGCGACAGAAGTGACTGAAACGTCCCGTCTATATAGTTTCCTAGGCATTAAATAAACGTCAGTCAGTGGTCGGCCACCGCCAATATTGAACCGTCGTTGTGAAATTTATAAATAGCCCCTCTCTCCACTATTTCGAACATTTACTTTTAGATTCTTAATCTTCAAAGCTTTTTATATCTTCTAACCTCTTCATATGCACATCTACGATTTTCACTGCTACCATCTTCTCAAAACACCAAATTATCATCTTCATCTATTTTTAACTTCAAATCCATACAAAAATGGCAAAAACATCAAAGACTGTTCCTCAAAAGGAAAATGCTTCTTCATCGTGGCCGGCCGGCAACAAAACAACGGTGGAGCCACGACATAAAGAGTGTGTTCCCGGGGGGTGTGTTATTACTTCTGACTTCAAAACTGATAAAGCCTCATCGATTCCTGGTCGATGCGAGCCAATGACGAAGTACATATGCTCGATAACTGAAGGGTACCTTAAGCAGTTAAGGAAAAACTGCAACTGGAAAGGCAAAGAAGTGGTGATACCGACCCCGGAAGAAGACATTACCACCCATGTGGAAGGGTTTTTAAGTGTTTATACCTACCCTTTCATGCTGGGCCCCCTCGACCCCGTCGTCATCGATTTTTGTCGTCAGTACCACATAACTCTAGGCCAAATCCACCCTTCTTTTTGGAGAATTGTTATTCTGCTCTGATTCTTTGTGAGCAAAGTCAAGGGGATGCCTTTCACCCTCGACCACCTCATCAGATTATAAAGCCCCCGCCTCTATCGAGGCGGGTTGATAAAACTCCAATGCCGGGCCACCAAAGTGCTATTCTCGAGCATAGATGAGGACAAGGACCGAGGCCGGATGGGCCGGTTTGTTCGAATG